AATAGCGTTTCTCTTCATTATCGTATTTGAAACTTAAATTGGAAAAAGCGAGACAAGTATATTGACTCAATTGATGTAGAATTATAGGTTCCCTCTATGCATACGTAATTATGTATTTAATTACTCTGAGGGAGTAGCCATAGCGTTTTTCCCCGATAGAGAACTGTCATTTTTTGCGACGGGAAATATGCGCACACGAAAACAATCGTCTGTTACTATGAAACTCACACATAACAATAAGCTAACAATTTCACACACACGTAGATACAATAATATAATAGTACCACACGGTGATAGCGACAACTATGATACAGATTCGGATCGGTCGCTCGACCGATCTGTTTATTGTAGCAGCCATGTTGGTAAACAAATTCAAAACACCACGACCGTTATTATTATAATTTTTAAACTTAAGGTTCTAAGAGCGGGTGAAATGCCTAAATTCTTGGATATTTAATAAAATCACAATAACTGTTCATTTAATCCACAAAGAAAAATAGAGGGTGACAGAAGAGGATTTAATAAATGTTTTCAATTGAATAAAATTTTATTTTGTTCAACCCCTTATTGGGAAAAAATCCCCAAAAAGACATATATCTTTGTCATATTTTATAAAATTTCTCCAATACGGCACAAGCTCTTTAAATAGTTTTTACACAAAAAAGGTCTTAAAAATACAAATATTTTTAATTGAGTTTTCTTTTCTTCCCCGTTTTACTCGAGAAAACAATTTTTCCCCGAAATTGAATATATTCATGCGAGCGTGGCTGCTCCGTCGCCCTGTAATCCCTGCGAGCTCTGTCGCAGTCAGTCTCTAGTATATATACTCAATAATATATAGATAGAAATACTTTATTTAATTAATATCTCAAAAAAGTTCAGGATCTAATTGACGATATACAGCTGACACTTAATCACGCTTTTGGAAGCCACGCCAGTTGTAAACAATACTTCTGTAAAAAATGGTGTACACAAGAGAATTAGGAACAGACAAAATCTGAAACGAATATGAATATTGCATATGTATACGATACAAAAGTAAAATAACAGTCTATATAAGTCCCTCTGCTGGGCAAAGGACTCCTCTTATTTCTGAGAGGGCTTTAGGGCAAGGAAATATACGCCGTGTTGGCGAACTTCACGTCTTGAATTTTTTTTTCTTATTCTTTAGACATACAGGTTTCCTCATGATGTTTCCTTCACCGCCGAGCACGTGCTTAATTATCACTTAAATTGCAATTAAAAATTTAATTGGCGCTGCCGGGGATCAAACCCGGGCGAAATTTACAGCGAGCGCTTAGACCCAGAGCTACTAATACGACACAAATAAATAAGATTCAACAGATATAATAAAAACTCTTACGTTCTTAAAACTTAATCACTTGATAGCTCGTAATGCCTACCGGATGAAACTACAGCACCAGACCATGCAATGTAATTGAAGATGCTTAACCGCGACATAACTCTCAGTGATGCGCCACATAATAAGCAGTAATAGCAATTATATACTAGTCACCTCTGCAGTCTATTAATCTTTGCACTTTTAAGTTTAAGTAATATAGAAGATAGTCGCTAGATGTTGTTAACGTCGGCTAAAATCTATGCGGTCGCCGTTTCGTCAAGGTCATTCAGGCTTCTTAAGCCTTAAAAATAATCAAATAGCAATAATGTGAATAAAAGTTACATAAATAAGAAAAGATACGGATACCTTGAATGACAGATAGTTTGAATTCAAACTAAAATCCTCGTAAAAAAAACGGGATATATCTCCTAAAGTATTAAGGGGCTACTCCATGCGAACGACCTTGAGCATTTGACCGCTTGCTACAATATTAATATATTGTAGCGAGCGGCTCGCCGGAAGAAATATGTAAGACGCCACCTATTGTACGAAAGTAGTATTATTTTTTCAACATCAATAAACTATTTTATGGAAATACACATAGCGTACAAAGATAAATGTATTTTAATTTTTTTATTCTGTATATATTAGTTGCATTATATTAGAATTATGTATTTTCATATATTATCTAATTATGAAATTTTATAATTAATTATATATTAAAACTGAAGCATTGAAAATTGTGAGTTTAAAAGATACCTATTCACTATAGGTAAATAAATAGATAGCTCGGCTTTTGTACAAATATTTGGTGCAATAAAAAATAAATAAATAAATAGGATGTTTCGCATATGTGTTTTTGATTATTGTTAATTTTTACGTGTCACGTATTGAAAAGTTACCTACTAATTTTTGAACTTATGCTGGCAGATATTATCCTCACCCCAATGATTGATGAGGATGAAAATCAATTTTATTTCTACATACGTAATTATATTTATTTATACATAAGGGTAACTTTAATAAAGGTAATACAAAAATCAACAAGAAGTATAAGGGTTCAATCTTTCAATTTCAGTTGTAAAAAAACGTTACCCCCACACTAGGATTTTCTCCTGTGTCGTGGAGGCAGTTTACAAACATAAATTGCACAAAGACAAACATCCAGACCCGGAACAATTATTTGTAGGCCATACAAATACTTGTTCCATGCGGGATTCGAACCCGCGGCCCCCAGCGCAACAACTGATTGCTAAGCCACTGCGCCACCATGAAGCTAATACAAAGACTAACTTTGTATTTGCTTCATGGTCGCCGGGTTATAGCTAAAGTGACCATACGTCCCGTTTTGAACGGGACTGTCCCTTTTCTCGGTCTCCTGTCCCATTGTCCCCAAACAAAGCTCCGGGACACAAAATTGTCATGTAACTAGTTGGATGGAAGTATTCAAAGTCAACAATCTTCAACATAATTTTTTTTAATCGAATATATTTTATGTCTACCTGGTACGAATGCTCCGGTAGAAAGAGTATTTTTTTATTTTGCATAAATTGTGGACGTCTGAAAGAAACACTTACGGTTCCAGAGTTCTAAAGGCGATGTTGTTAACAAAGATAACAATAAAAAACTTGAGCAGAATTTTATTCTTATTTAAAATCATCACCAACTTTATTAAAGCAAATTTAATCCACTGACAAATGTAATTAATAATTAAAAAAAATATGTTGCATTTAATAATTACCGTCTATACCGAATATAATTTTATAGTGAACACTAATTGTATAAAGTTATAGTTTTTAGAGTATAAATAAACCCATGTCCTGTTTTGAGTTAAAAAATAAATGGTCAGTTTAGTCTTTTTAGTTAAATTTAGTTTTAAAAATTTTTAGTAGTAAAAAGTAGGTATATTAGTACCTACTTAGATACTTTTTACCGAATTATAAGTATAGAACACCTTATGTACTCAATTATTTTTTGAAAAAGAAGAAAAAACAAGCAATAAATAATATACTATATTTTAGCAAAAAACTATAACTTAGTAATACTAATTATAACTTAGAACAAAAATGAAAAACTCATAACTGACCTTTTTCCCGACCCAGGATTCGAACCCGGGACCTCATGATCAAAAGTCGCACTACTACAACCACTAGACCAACGAGGCAGTACTATACCTGATAAGATATTGTGGTTGGGTGATAATATTGAATTAGCCTTTTATAGTGTAAATTATAATATTTGTCGAAATTTTAATTATAGATTCGAACCTTACATGCTAATGGTGCTTCATTTTTTTATTTGCATTTACTTCAAAGAAAATACACGCAAAAAGCTTCATCGCGCAGTAAAAAACACAACAAATATATGTATAACTAATACGAAAAATTATACCCAAAACAAACAAATAATACTACCTATAAATAACCTAATAAGTAATATTATTTATCGACTGATATTACGTGAGTGTATGCGGCGCTGGTCGACGCTCTAACGACACGGGCTTCGCGTCGAAGAGCTCAGGGCTCACTGACTCTAGCAAGCCCGTGAGCAGTGAATATGCCCAGATTTTAAAATAATTTCTTAATAAAATCAAATTTTGGTCTTTTGAAAAAAAATTTACTATAGAAATGTTTATTAATAAATTGCCTATCCATTGGTGTAAATCGCAAAATAAAATAATACTTACTTTACGAGGAGATCCATGTTATCAATAACAATTTCACATTTATGTGGTTTCGTTGTAAGGAGATTATATTAATATTTATTCGATTAAAAAAAAATTGGATATAGCTTTTATGGAATCAAGATTATGTAGAAATATAATGTGTTTTTTATTTGTTGATATATCTTATAAATAAAAAGTAGATAGCTTCTAAAAACCGCCCAAATAACGACTGGCGCGACATTTTGCTCAACCTGCGCCTTAAGCCACATTTTTTTTTCTTAACTACTAATTGTCATCAATTCCTCACTAATTTAGGATATGGTTGGGGAGGATTCCCGCTTGAAGGATCTGAGTCAGAGGACACAATATTTGGAGAATAAGATGGGTAGGGAAGAAAAACCCAGCCAAGTGAATGTATTTATTTACGGAGTTGCTTTAGTTATGTGTGATCGGGCAGAATCTAGTGAAATTATAGTTTCTTTTTTCATTTTTCGGTAATTACGATACTACATAATCCAGTTTTCACAGTAATATTTACGTGAACGTAGTGTTAGTTGGCGGGAACTCCCATTCTCCTGTCCCACTGCTGAACGCGCATATATGCAACTACACCATTTGTGGGTTACAAATTATTTTAGATGCATTAAAGCACACCTACGAGGGCGACACTGAAAGTTTTTAGAAGTGGCCACTTGTAAACGATATAACAAAAAAATAAGTTCAAATTTTGAAAATAGAACTCTTTGTCAATATTATTGTGTATGTATTTTATTAATTTGTCACTTGTTTACGATTTGGCAGCAAATTGTATTATGCATCTAAAATCATTTCTATTATCAAAAAAATAGCCCACAATTATATAAGTTCAATAATTATATTTTACTTACTACCTAAATTCTGAAATAAAAGTACAACTTTTTTCGAGAAGTTAATTTATTTCCATAAAATGATTGCGAGAAAAACGATTATGGTGTCTTTAATCAGAGTAATAAGTTAATCTGTAAAAGCTCCTCCTGTAGGAAGCTCTTCTTTCTTTGTTGGAGAATCTTCGAAATTGTACTCAATGCATCTGTGAGAAACACAATTTCATTTTAATATTTTTAAAAGACTTTATTAATTATAAAAAAGAAAAACAAATAGGAAAACCTCTATGCAGCATAAGTTAAAATAAAATTGGAGTTGGAAAATAATATCCCAAACCAACCCAACTTCTACAATTAATTCTTCTTTACATTGCCCCGTCAACAGTCCACTGGAACACAAATGAGCCTCTCCCATGCTAGGAAGGATATGCTACAAATGTTATTGAGATATATATTGTTCTTCACTAAACACAAATTCGCAATATTTTGAAGATGTGGCCCATCTTCAAAATATTGCGAATTGCAATTTATAGTATTTAGGATTTCAAAAAGCGAGAGAGGTGTATCAGGCATCAGAATCGTGCCAAGTGGTCTCTGCCTACCGGTTTGGATGATAGTTTATGTACCTCACCGGCACGGAAACTTGGCCACTCGTGAATTTGCTGATTATTTGCACTAAAACGTTTTTTTTAACAGTAAATTAAGGGTAGATGCATTCAATAAGTGTCTCTAATGGTCTTAGAACGTAGAAATTTAATGTTTACTTCATCGAAATTTTTCTTTTCAAGATAACATGTTTTCACTAAAATTAACATCTTTCCATTGTCACTTTAAAAACACTACAAAGTTAAAAATTAAGTCTGTTTCTTTATTGTCTATCAGTTTTAATATCGGGTGTTTCCTCCTCTAGCCCTGATAACCGCTTGCATTCGATCTGGTATGCTTTGAATGATGTTTCTGACATTAACTTGCGGTATGCTGTCCCAAGCGGCCAGCGCTGCATTTCGGAGCTCATTTAGAGTTTGTGGCGGTTTGGAGCTGGACTTTATCTTTCTTTTGAACATACCCCATACATGCTCAATTGGATTTAAGTCCGGGCTACGAGCTGGCCACTGTAATTTTTGTATTCCAACCTCTTCCAGATATTCCTCTACACAATGTGCGACGTGCGGGCGTGCATTATCGTGCATGAGGAGGAATTGGTCGTGTCCAATGAATCCCGAATAAGGCATTACGTGCTCCTGAAGAACTTCCTCGATGTATCGAGTAGCTGTAAGCCGATTATCGACGATGACCAACTCTGTACGTGCGTCGGAACTTACACCTCCCCATACCATTATTGAGCCTTCATGGAAACTCACAGTTTGGGTGGTGGTAATGGGTAGAAACCTCTCTCCTCTTTTTCTCCACACTCGTTCTCGACCGTCTGGAGCACGTAAAGCTATTCGACACTCATCTGTGAACAACACTCTAGCCCATTGCTCGTGGGTCCAATTGACATGTTCTCTTGCGAACTGAAGTCGGGCTACTCGGTGCTGTCTGAGAAGTTCTGGACCTCGTGCTGGTCTACGAGCTTTTAAATTCACTTCCTCCATTCGTCTTCTCACCGTACGCTCACTAACATTAACGCCTCTTGCGATTTGGAGCCGCTGGCGTATCTCAACAGCGGTCAGGTAGTGGTTTCTCAAAATCTCCATAACAATAAAACGATCGTCCCGGGCCGATGTGCACCTTACGCCCCCACTGCCTGGCCTGCGGGTGTAGCGTCCTGTCTCCTGGTATCGTTTCAGTGAATACTGCATTGAGGACCGTGGTACGTGAAGCACAATAGCAACTTCACGCTGTGTCAGCCCTTGGTCAATTAATGCTACTGCTTGTGCAACTTGTGCTGGTGTTAATGGCATTTTTATTGGCTTTAAAGCACCTTTAGTTATTGAATTAAGACACAAGATCACAATAATTGAATAAACTTACAGTAAACTTTTCACAACACACAAATTTAAAATGTGAACTTAGTCGCTCAAATGACCCGATTCAACTAAAAATTAAAGAATTCGTCATGGTGCACTTAAACATAATGAATTACCCTCTTGAACTTGAGAGCAAACATTTTTTGACATACCTGCATAACAAACATTCATCAGAAACACTTAAAGCTTTTGCTATCGCGAGATAACCGCTTGGCCAAGATTCCGTGCCGCTGAGTATATATAAATATGCCCGATTGTGCATTAAGGTATTTTAAGTCCCGATATGTAGCAAAAAAAAAATGTGATTTCGGTTTATTATCGCAAGTATAATGTATATTTACCCCGCAATTTTTAAATTATATTATTTCTGGTAGATTGTTCTAGAACATTTATCATTATTGTAATAAGCGCCCTCTTTTATCTAGTAACGTCACCAAATGAGTTAGTGATTGACAACGTTTAACGATTGGTCTATCGATAAAAAATATTATACAGGATGCAGATTTAATCATCTACGATATTTAAGGAGATGAAACAGTAAACGATACTGTATCCATACCAATAAAGAAATCGGGTGGGCCTGTGTCAAGGCACACAGCCGTAGGTTTTAACGTGAAACGTCTATGTCAGCCAGTATAACCAGTACAATTAGTTAACAAGATAGCCTTTTTTATTTTAATATAATTCTACAACCCCAGGAGAACTTCAGGTACATTACCGGCCTTTTAAAAAGGAAGCTTTAAGCTCGTTTCTTGAAAGTCCCAAGTCGTATCGGTCCATAAAAATGCTAAACGATTCCTAAGAAAACTCCTAATAAATCGCACGGTAGTGGATCGCCAAGCATCCAAATGATGTCTATGGTAACGTAAGTTTTGTCGCGATGTGTATTGGTGAAATTTCATGCCTGGAATTAATCCGGACAATTTCTCAGAGCACTCCCCCGTGGTAAATACGATAGAAAATGCAAAGGGATGCAACATCTCTGCAGCGCCAGTGAATCGAGCCAATCAAAGAGAACTCTGTCATCGACGATTCGAGCCGCTCTGCTCTCTATGCGGTCAAGTGGAAGGAGCTCGCACTGGGGAGAAAGTAGATGAAAACAGTATTCCATGTGAGGCCGAACCTGCGCTTGTGAAGTTGCAAACGGTGTGCAGGCATGAAAAGTGCTCTACTGAGTACGCCAAACTTTTTAGAAGCCAATTTAGCTTTATCTTCCAAGAGACCAAGTTATTGCAGGTCATTCGATATGTCGACGCCAAAGATTCCGCTACTGCCTGCGGCAACAAGGAAAGTGCTCTGAAATTGAGGAGATACGACAAGAAAGTGCTCTGAAATTGAGGAGATACGACAAAGTTGTTCTTTTTAGCGGTAAAGGCGCAAACTTGTGAATTTGCGTAATAATTTATCGTGTAACAACTTTCAAGTTCAGTACTTTCCTAAAATATGTTAGATTTAATGTGTATTTTTGTAAAAGAAACGAATTTGAAAAACATGAAGGCGCTCACTTATTGGATTTGATGTTTCACCATGTGCCTTCGACGCCGACCGACCAATCATATGCTATTACTATAGCTTCTAATGGACCTAGTGACTATCATCCAAGATGCCACCAACGTGACTGCTGTTTGAATTGATTCTTAGTTATTGGAAATTAAATATTTTATTTCATGACATATCATTTCATTCATGGCGTTATTCATGACTTAAAAAGTTTATATGATTTTTTTGGTGTGATGGGAGTCATAATAAATAGATTTGTATAATAGAGAAGCATGTATATTCTTTATTATTATATCGTAAAGAATTACAAACTTAGTAACCTTCAACAACATTATCGATACTTTGATGACGAAACGGTAACATTCCTGAAACGGGTTTTTACCTTACATTTATTAGCATCACTTACTGGAGAATAGCTGAAATGTTTTCCTAATAAATATTCAGCGTAGTTTTGCTATGTTTAGTTATAGGGCGTCACACACGCGCGAGCTCAAACTTTTTGTATGCAAATGTTCCCTATGTCCTTTCTATAGTATACCTTTATATTTAAATCTCTTTGTTTGTATGTTATATAAAAATTTTAAGCTTGAAACCTGTTATAAAAGAATTAAAAAATATATTTACATATTTACCAAAATATTTATTAATTTAAATAATATGTGTCTGATATATTAAGCTCCGGTAGGTCAATCTCAATGTCTGAATTTTATAGTCACACCTCTCTCTTATCTCTGAATTAATGAAAAAAAAATTAAATAATTTAAAATTAAAATTTTGTACAACCGACTTCAATATAAACTATTAAGAATAACTCAAAAACTATTGGTCAAACCTTAATCAACATGAGACCACATGTGAAGTACCAGCTTTCAAATAAAAAAAGAATCATCGAAATCGGTTTACCCAGTAAAAAGTTATGAGGTAACACATATAAAAAAACATACAGGCGAATTGAGTAACGTCTCCTGTTTGAAGTCGGTAGAAAAAATAGTAGTAAGTAGTAAAATTCTTACACCTGACAGTCGTCCCTTCATACATCTTTATCAACACACGATAAATCTAACTAAGTTAAGCTTAGATAATTTTATCAGTATATAAGTATACTTCTCTAAGGGTGGGCATAGAAAATGCCGAATGTTGCGTGGCATGAACAAATCAGCTTGCACTTTGGAGACGTCCAAGGCATACTCCTCCACCTCCTTTATAATGTCCTCGTCCACCGGTGGTCCGATACCAGGCACTGCGTAGACAATTACTACCTAAATAAATTATTTATTTATTTATTTTATTTTCAAGGAAACATACATAATTTTAGTCTAATACATAACACATTAATCTTACAATTAACAATGAAGTTTCCACAGTTAAGTAACTCATCGACAACAAGCGAACATCATGACATACTTTGGTGTGTAGAACTAAAATTAAGTTAAAGTATAATGTAATATTAAAGTGAAATATAAATTTTAACTATTACCCATTACAGTTTCAATTTCCTTTTTAAACTGTACATATGACAGAGAAAATACATCAACATGTGAAACAATGTTATTATAAGAATTACATGCACGAGTTATAAAATTGTTCTTGCCATATTTAGTGCGCATTGTAGTAGTACAAAATAAAAGTTTCTTTTTAGCACATCCTTTGGCATCTGAAATTTATTTCACTTAGAAGTGGTATGGAGTCGACCCTATAATGAATGATTTTATATAAAAACATCTGATCCCTGACATTACGACGAGATTTTAGGTCAGAGGCTAATCTACACAAAATAGAGACATCACCGGCTGATCTAATTTGGATAATTATTTTATCAATATGAGATTTAAATACTAATTTTTGATCCAAATATACGCCCAGGTCCCGTAACTCGGTTACTTGACCTAAGTTGTTGACACCAAAAGTGTTTACTCGACCTATCGATTCATTAGTTATTTTATAATTAAATTCTATAGGTTTGTTTTCCTGCTGAATGTTATAACATTAAATTTTTTTTTTATATTTAAGAACAATAGATTATTAAAACAATATGAGTATAATCTATTAACATCTTCTTGTAGTAGCTCAGTCATGTTCGTTTTTTTTTTCTTATCATCAGCAAATAGGAGTATGTTAGAATGTTGGAATTGCAAAAGAATGTCATTTATATAAATATTGAACAAAAGAGGACCGAGATGCGAGCCCTGGGGGTCACCCGAAGAAATTGGTAAAAACGAAGAACAGTACCCCTTAACTGCTACCGCTTGAGTACGATTACGCAAGTAAGATGCTAGCCAGCGCAGATATGGTCTAGTTTTTTGATAAGGGTTTCGTGAGATATTTTATCAAAAGCTTTGGAATAATTGGTGTACACGGCATCCACCTGTAGCCCTGCATCCATTGCTTTGTGAACAATATCAAGATATTCGCATAAATTACTATGTAGATTTCCTAGTCATGAAACTATGCTGCTGGGTCAACAAGGCGAGTCTGATGGTGGGGTATATAGGATCATACACAATTTTCTCAAAAAGCTTGGAGATAGTATTAAGTTTGGATATCGGACGATAATTTTCTATATCCTGTTTATTACCGGACTTAAATACAGGTGTAACAAAGGACTGTTTCCAGGCATATGGCATCACTCCCCTTTTCAATTAAAGATAAAACAATCTAAAAAGCGGCTCGGATAATTGCTTGTAGCAGTTCTTCAATAAAATTGGAGGAAGCCCGTCAGGACCAGCGCCTTTATTAATATTAATGTTTTTGAGGTATGATTCAATTTTGGCTTTATCTATAAAAATGTGGTTGAGATTAATCAGGTTACTTCCTGGGTTGACATCTATATGATCATGATCGGGTTGACTAGGAGATTCAAATACCGAATTAAAATACTGATTAAACAAACCACATATATTTTTGCCGCTAGATGACCTAACATCTTCAATAAACATTGAGTCAGGTAAATCATTCATATTTATCCTTTTTTATTTAACATATGCCTAAAAGTCTTTACTATTGTGAGAGATCGTAGATTCAGCATCAGATATAAAATTATTAAAACACTCCTCCTGCAACACCTTCTGCCTTTCTCTGAGTAGTCTTAATGTATTATAATCAGTTACACGGCCATATATTTTCCACTTCCGATGATATTTTATTATCAAATTGTAAAAAAATGTATGGGTGCGATATGATCTGTCTTCAATCTCATTTTCTCATTTAATGAATAGTTGTAAGTTTTTTTTTCTTATTAGCCAAAGCTCGACTGTAATCCCACCTAGTGGTACGTGGTGACAAAGCCCTAGATGGTAACAGTACTGTCTTTCTTTAGAAAATATACTCTTGCCTTGGGACGTCCAGATTACAATCGGACGCAAAGAGAGAAGCCGGCAAATTATTCCACTATTTTGCCACAGAGTAACGGCTTCTTTACTCGTGTGCTTTTACTGTAACCATTACGAAAAATAAAGTAAACACTGATACGTGGTATATCGACAACACAGGTGTAAAGACCCGCCGATCGCCTGGTTGTCCGATGATAGAAAGGGAAAATTGGATCTATTACAACTTTTTCAAATGCGTTCCTGAGGGATTGTCTCATAGAAGGAATATTTGTCATAGTTGCTTCGTTTGGCAGGAGATTTGGCAACCGCAGTGTTTTATTATTTTGAGTTGTTATCATTTTAAACGTGGTAGGGCCATGCTGCAGCTATATTAGTAGTATAGTTGTAGCACGAATGGGTCGGCTTGACCGGGGAAGGACCACGCTCTCACAGAATACCAGCGTAAAATAGCAGCTTAACACTGCTGTGTTTCGTATGGTGAGTGTAGAGAACCGGAGATCCTTTTTACTGGAAAAGAGGCATTCCATCTTAGTCTTCACGGATGACAACGCATCTGCATTTTATTCGCAAACGAGGATAGATGTAGATGTCTATGGGCCACAGCAACCACTTACCATCAGGTGGACTGTGTGCTCGTTTGTCACCCGATCCTATAAAAAAATGAAGATGGTGTTGCCCATCTCCTGTTTCATTTTACTCTGTTGCCTCTTACGACACTTTCGAGATGATTTGGGGTAGTGAGTTCTCTTCACGCTGCCGCCGTCACGTAAATGTTTACGAAAAACTGAATATCCGTATCGTGTTTGTGGCTAGGCTCGGACACAGTTTAACTACAGCTCAACGAAACATAAATCATTATTTGATACTTTTTTCGGCACTAAGCCCTCTTGTGCACACACGTTTCCTGTCATGAAAAACTACGGGACACGGCGGCTCTACGGCATGACATGGCATGGCAGGCGGTGCTGTATGCGCTGTGTCTGCGCGGCATACCTTCCGATTATATTCAAAATTTTAAACATGTGTGTGTGCCAAAACAAATTTATGTTGCAAAAGTAAGTGGCAAAGTCGGCAAGCATCACCCTAGGCGGAAGTTTACCGACCAAATTAGCGATATACTGTAAATGACCACCTCAAGCTAAAATGTAGGGAGAGGAAAGGAGCTATGACGAGAGAGAGAGAGAGGGAGAGAGAAAGAGAGAGAGAGATAGAGAGAGAGTATATGATGATATTATTCAAAAATTATAATCACAGTAGTGTTAGAAAATATAAATCTATCAGATTGAGTGCAAGAAATACCAAACAGATAAGAATCAGCGCACCTCAGGTATGGGCTGTTCTTCCTCCTCCACTTCTTCTACTTCAGGCACAATTACATCTATATTCTCCTCCAGGTACGTTTCAAGAATTTCTCTAATCATAGCTACCTCTTCAGGTTTTGCCTAAAATCAATAATATCTTTAATGCAGTAATTATCAAATTATATTTAAGGTGTGTCGTTAATAATTAACGGATGGATTTAATATATTGTATTCGTTTTTCTTGTTAATTTGTTTGACGGCTCGGAATCACAGCGCTAAACTTTCGTAGGGTTTGAATCCCGCACAAAACAAGGGTTTGTAAGACCTACAAATAAGTGTTTGTCCTTGTGCAATGTATGTACATATGTAAAATAACACCACGATACAGGAGAAAATCCTAAAGTTTAAATGTTTTTCAACAGATAAGAATAAATCAAACGTTTAGTTTTTTGTGATATTCCAATATAAACGAACTTTATCTAAGCTTTAAGAAACAGTTTCGGCAATTCATTTGGAAATATTAGGATGTAAGTAAATAATAAGCAATGATGTTGAATTAAAATGGGAAAACCTTCTTTTTCTTCAAGTCCGGATCAGGCAAAACTTCAATCTGCTCGTCAACTTTCTCCATAATCTCGCGTTCTATATGTTGTACAATAAATTCACCGCTAGTGGTCGACATTTGTCGCCCTGCCACCATTCCTGTAAAAAATTTAATATAATATGTTCAACAAAGGTTGTCTTTAGGACTTTATTATTTTAAATAGATAACAGATCACCATAACATCAACAGAATCAACCTCCTATGCACGCTGTGCATTGAAGAAGAAGCTGGCAGTCGACTGATAGCAAGAAACTCATTATAGAAAGCTGAACCTATAATTGCAGAACTGTTAATAGGAACAACTGCTTTGCCTACCGTCGACCCAACTTGGTAAGTATGAGCGAATCCACCAAGCCATACAAAATTGTAGCTACATCAAAATCTAAGGGATGAAGTTAAATATTGCTTGATAAAGAAAACGGAAATGTTTGCAAATGACGACCAAGAAATATATACTTATGATGGAATAGAGGTTATTGTTTGCTCGTATTATTAAAAAAAACTAGTTACTATTAAGGTAGTAAACATTATGTTAAAGCAGACAAGCTAAGTAACAAATGGTCACTGATTTCAATATACAATATATATATATATATATATATATATATATATATATATATATATATATATATATATATATATATATATATATATAAGCAAATGGTGTTTTACATGCGAGTCTAATGGTAAACAATGAATTTATGATATTTAAAACGGTGAATTTATGACACATAAAAGTATTCCAATCTAAACTTTTTTATTCAATATAGATTATAAATAATACTTGGATTGTAAATGATTAAACATTGATAAATATACTCTAAATAACGTTGTTTCTAGGACTTAAAATGGTAAACATCATAAGGAATGTAACGTATGACGTAGTATAGATAAGTTAATGTTTTCATTAGGTTTAAACTTACTATAAATTATATATTTAGAACATTGGCCAAATTTATTTAAATTCTAACCCAAATCGTAGTAAGCAGTTTTAAACTTGTCCACTAACTCAGCGATCTCTTCGAATGTTTGTTCTAAATCTGCACGTCGTTCTTCTAGCGCTTTAAAACACTGCATAAGAAGGTAAATAAAGAAACGGATACATTTTTTAAAATAAACAAGAAGTAAAAATATTTACGATTTTGTCTTTTTTGCTTAAATTAAGTGATACTTTGCGTTTTTTTTAACATTGTATGAGCAAAAGTAAGACAGACCTAATAGCCTCCAATAGGCATTATACCGGCTCATATATTATAGCAGATGTAAAATAGCTAGATGGAAAGCAGCGTGAAAGTTGCTAGACATTTGGTAATGTGATTGTCGTCCGCGTGCTGTCAAGCGTGTTCAAGCTACTTAATTATAGAAAACTCTTCCTAAAATTAAAAGGTCTATGTTCTGTATTGGACTGTAAAGCGATGATGGAAGGAAGAAAACTTTTGTACACGTAAAATGAATATTTATAATATAATGCCAACAACTTAGAGATTGTATTTGAGACTCGTTCTGACATCATAAGAGGTGACTATGTTAAATATCAGATAGACCTCATGGCCCTTACGATAAATGGGAGAACGAATTCAGAAATGCAAGTACATAGTAATAGTATATGCTTGGAAATTTCTCGGGAATACTATGTCCAGCAGTGATTTATTATGGGCTTATGAAGAAACTGTGCGTGGTAGAGCCTATGTGTTCATATATTATGGTTGTAGCACGAATGGGTCGGCCCGACCAGGGAACAACCATGCTCTCACAGAATACCACCGAAATAGCATCTTAATACTTCTTTGTTTCGTATGGTGAGTATAGTAAACCGGAGACCCTTTATACTGAATACGAGGCATTCTATCTTAGTCCTCAGGAGAACAGCGCATCTGCATTTTTAATCGAGGATAAACGTAAATTTCTATGAGCCATAGTATCCGTTTGCCATAAGGTGAACAGTGTGCTCGTTTCTCACCCTTATTCTATAAAAAAAAAAACAGAATTAACAGACATAAATTCAAACTGGCACTTCAACAAGTTCTAAAATATTTATTTTTTTATAGGAGAGGGGGCAAACGCGCATGCGGTTCACCTGATGGTAAGTAACTACCGCCGCCCATGAACAACTGCAATACCAGGGAGGGAATTGCAGATGCGTTGCCGGCCTTTTAAAAAGGAGTTACGCTCTTTTTTAATCATATTTATAGTAGTTTACTAGGTGTTAGAATCTTGTATGTCTCAGTCTTTCAAAAAGCTATTGGTATCACTTTTTTTATTTTCAATACAACAAAATTTACTTTAGCAACAAATTCGTCGATGTTTTCCGGTTGGGTTTTCGTTTTCTGATCCGCTTCAGCATCTACTTCCTCAATATTCGATGTCAAACTGTTGGTATCACATTTCTCTTCTTCTGTAACGATATCCGTTTTCGAGCCTCCTAGAGTTTTCAGTGTTTGAATTCAATTCCTTTTTATCTTTTTCACATTTCTCTACTACCTCTAAGTTTTTTTAGTAATATAATTTAATATGTAAAAAACACCCTCTCCGATCCGAAAGGTCTGTTAATGACCAAAATGATAATTGTCAAATTGTACCCAATTGTACATGTACAATTACTACAGTTTGCAAATTTCTGATGTTGAAATTCAACAAAATTTTTAAAGTTTTAACATATTTTGGCAACATATCCTTGAACGTGTGGCAGTTTTTTTACCCATTTAAGTTTCCCCATTTATTTAAATTTTATTTTATTTTTCGCAGGGCACCTATTTGTTTTATTTATTCTCCGAAAAAATTACATGAACAGAACCATATAACGATATCAAGAAGCTCCTTTACTGATTGGATAGGGTTTTTTACATATTGTATAGCGTAACTACTTTACCTTGAAGGTTATGAAAAAGAAATTATAATAGCTACGTTTACAAAAATGTACAGGTATATACAAAATACAGAATACAAAGCGGTACGCGTATGTACCTCTAGGAAGAAAAGGAAGAATAAGGTAAGAGTTGTGTAGATTTGGATGTATCATCTGAAAACTTTTCTGAAGTTATTTGAGATTGTGTGTGTTATTACTAATCCGTTCTATTGTTAACTTTCCTTATGGCAAATACAATTTTGAATTAATATATTAAAATTACGGATAGGTTTAATAAAAATTTCGTAATCTTGCTCATTATTTTGATGTACGTTGCTACTTTTATAATCTGGCTGGCTAACTGATAGTATGGACTCGTTTTCAGATGATTTTTCTTAAATTTAAGTTTAAAAGTACCATAATTTTAATCTACAATAAAGTAATATTAAAAAAAATAAAGTTACAAATATAACCATAAATCTCGAGGGGTATTTCAACGCCATTTTCATCATGGACAATTATAACAATCTCATATTTCTCTTTCTCTTCTTTCTTTTCATCAGACCTTCGTTCATCTGTTTCAAAATAACTGAGTTAGTTTTATATCGCTATTTTAATGAAACTAATAATATCGTTCGGTTCGTAGTCATCGGAAATTGTGGAAAAACTAAAAAAAAATCTATATTTCACTTATTTATTTATTAAGCTTTTTTCTAAATTAAATAAAAAGATAGAAATTTTAAAATTTTCTTTTTCATATATAATCCGTTAGTGCTGCCGATACCGTACGAACGTACGGGTATTGGCTGATTGTTTAGCGTACCGGTCGTTTCAAAGAGCAATGGCAGACTTTCATACATAAAATTAGTTGAGAAGAAATGGTAGCGTCTATATACCAAAAATATCTTAAAATGTTAAGCGTCAGTTCCTTAATAAATCTGTCAAAGAATTTCGTACTGAGAAGGCGTCAAAAAAAAAGATATTTACATTTGAACCTTTTGCACATAACCTAGTGCTATGTCCCTTGGAAAAACTCATGCTTCCTGTGGTTGTTTGATGTTAGCTTAATACATAATACATAATTGAGAGTTTTTAGATTATTGTGTCTCTATTATATATTTGCATACTATAAATGTATATTTCTGGCATGGCTCCAGGGCTTTTGTATCATAGTGACATTCTCAGAAGGGCTAGAACCCAGAGCTGTAAAGCCAGTAAAAAAAACAGTGACATTTTATTTTAGCTAGTGTTGACATAACATGAAATCGAATTGTTACATAGTACTATGATTGAGATAATGCATTATTGTAGGAAATTCTTTGTAAGAGACTTATTCTCAGTCATATCACTTTTATTTTTATTATTACTGATAGTACAGTTATTACTAATAATAACTTAATATAAAAATATTTTGTGTGTTGTGTTGGTAATCTTACAAAGTATATACGAAAATAGTATGAATATACTAAATGGCAACATTTGAATAGAGTAAAATGATTTAAGTCAATTGATATTCCCAAAAATGTTTGCTTTTTTCTGTGGCTTTAAGTAAAATACATTTTTATTTGAAAAATCATAGAAATATAATAAAACTTATTTTATATATAACTTATTTCTAGACGCTATAAATTTTGTCAACTATTTTCTGCCATTGCTCTTTGGCCACCAAACGTTGAAGAGTCAACTGTGAAGGGCCACCACGTCTACCGCAAAATGGGCGCAATGCGCGCAACGTTTGCACTAACGAACACTCATTTTGATAATAAATTTTTATCATATGAACGTGCTGTTCAATCGTGTAATTGCCATGATGATTTAGCATTAGTAACTGAATAATAAACAAAATACTTGATAGATGTCTTCAAATCAAAATGGCCGCCACGTGCCGCCAAAATCTACCCGCGCTAATTGTAAAACCCTTTACTTAAGTAAAATCCGTAGTATCTAGTTGTGTGTATTAACTTGTACACAGGTAGTGTTTTGTGAAGTTTCTTGGGGGAGGACTATGTTGAACAATGGACTTGTGAGGGACTGTAATGATGATGATAAAAACGTATCAAGGGCAAACGGTGATCACCGCCACCATATTATATTTTTAGTTGCTATGGACTATAAAGGCTAACCTTCTTTACTATCCTCAGGGCTCATCTTAGCAGCGCTCATTTCTCGAAGCTTTTTCTAGAACAGAAATAGAAAATTTTGAACAAAACAAAAACAAACAATATAAAATTATTCTGACAAAATTAATGGAACTGCTGAAGTACTTTTACGATTACTAATAACACTTTAAAAATCTACTTTTAAGATGAACAAAAGGCTATGGTAATTCATATGATGAAAATAAATTCTACTGCGTATATGCACGTCTAGTTCAATTATCTATAACGATCACAAATAACTGTCTAATATACTATAATAATATTAAATTTTCAATAATATACGCTAATAGCTTTGCAACATTAAATTTTATTTAGATACGGATTAAAATATCTAACAAAAATAAAATTAAATCGTATGTTACGTTATACAACAACAGTTAAGATAATCACAATTATTATGGCAAAATCAATATTGCATAAGAACTAGGTACTTGTGTTTTGTTTTTCTTTTTCCTTGATTTATGAAATAAGAATTGTAAATTTATATACATTCAAAAAAGTTAGTATAGTACGTGAGGGTAATGTTTCACTTTCTCATAACTCAAAAACTACAGCAATGTTTGCATGGATGATACGATAGCTCTTCATCAGTCAACCAAATAATAAAGGATCAAAAGGGCGTTGCCTTATCGACGCCATTTTTACAGTTGACTTTATAGTAAATACTTTAGTCGATTTTAGTAGTGGGTAGTGTAGTTAATTTTTTTTAAGTTAAGTTAATTTTTCAAAGTGTTCGTAATATTTGCCAAAGCTTGTTTGCTCTTTTTTCTTAATATATTAGTTATAGTATACGACTTTGTGTTTTTGTCTCTGTCCTTCTCCTAGTTTTGGTTTTATAGAGCAGCAAAGTTTAAGGTGACCATAATACCCTCACGTACTTTACTCTTAATGAAATTTACATACAAGTCTTTGTAAGTTTAAGTGAAAGTGAATCTAAGATGAGTACTAGGTTAACATAAATCATTGTTTAAACTATTGTTGTTGTTATTATGTTAACAAATACTAACATCGACTTCCTCATCAGGAACTGGCCTCTCTGAAATAGGTGTTTTTTTTAAAAGAACATATTTTTCTTTTACTACGTGAACGTCATCTGTGTTTGAACAGAGACATAAAGAATACCAATATTAATGTAGCAAAAAAAAAATACGATTTTATCACGACTTTCATTTTAGTATAATACAATAGTCATGATAGCTCACAGGCTAAATATTTGTCCTAAAATTTTCGTAATTAATAATTTCATAGTAAGCAAGCAATCTGGATTCGTCCGTTAACTTTGGTGCAGCGTGGTATACTAATTGCTTCATAACTCTCTGAGGAATAAAACGCCTGTGCCCAGCTGTGGGACGTATAATATATGGGACGTAAGTTCACTAATTTTAATTACAAAACTAGGAATATGGATAAAAATTAAAAAAAAAATATGATAAAACAGAATTCTTGCCACAATATACCTAATCACGAAGCTCATTCTGCGTAGATCGGACCAAAAATTTATATTTAAAAACTGAAGGTAGCCGGGCTAACCATGACATCGCGACGTCAAACACCTCAGTCCCCTCCGTGACCATGAGTGCTGTAAAGCACCCGAAACGTCGGGAATTAAAAAGTTAAACGCGATAAAATCCGTAAAATCCGTTCATTTAACAGAAATGGACACTTACTATACCTAAATGTATTGTAATATAATATATACAATATATTACAATACATTTAGGTATAATAAGTGTATAATATAGACAATACAAAAGACGTGATCTTGACGTGATCTTAACAGTGTAGAGGCGCTATAAGAATATTCACTAGACACCACATATCGTTCCGTGGGTGTCGTAAGGGGCGACAGAGGAAAACTGAAACGGGAGATGGGCAGCAGCATCTTCCTGATAACAACTCTAAATAATAATAAAAAACTAATTGCCAACCCACCTGCCAAGTGAGGCAACTATAACTAAATCTCTACACGCCTCTATGCGGCAATCTATTTTTTTTTATAAGATAGGGTGACAAACGAGCACACAGTCCACCTGATGGTAAGTGGTCGCTGTGGCCCATAGACGTCTACATCTATCCTCAATAAAGAATCAAAATGCAGATGCGTCGTCACCCGCGAGGACTAAGAATGCCTCTTTTCCAGTAAAATGGGTCTCCGGTTCTCTACACTCACCATACGAAACACAGCGGTGTTAAGCTGCCATTTTACGTTGGTATTCTGTGAGAGCGTGGTCCTTCCCTGCTCGAGACGACCCATTCGTGCTACAACTATACCATTAATATACATGCGGCATGGCTCTACCACGTAAAAAATGGGCAACAGTGGAGTTTTATAGGCTGTGATGGATTGATAAAAGGATGATATTACTTAACGTAAATTTGAAATTATTTATAATAGTTTAATCGGAATAGTGAACCTTTTCTCTCCCTCATGTAATTCTCTCGTTCGATTTGTCCCGCTCTCTCTACAGATGGCGACCTTTCTATTTTACCAATAATAGGCATGTTAAGCTTCACGCTAATTCTAGCTGAGCGGGCCACTTTGTCATTTATAAGCGAAACCTTCTTTAAATCAATATCTTGCCAAAAGTCATCCGCCGACGTCTAAACGATCAGGGTTAAGATAATATTTATTAATTAAATAAAGTTGTTTTAATAATTAAGTAGGACGGACAAACAAGTATAGGTACAGACCACCTTATTTATTCGAAAAGAAGCAAAATGTGCTGTAAGTCCTAAGGATTAAGACAAAATGTCTCGTAGCATTATAAAAAGTCTCCGGTTTTCGACACTCACATTAGGAAACATAGCAGCGTAATGCTGCTATTTTAGTCTGATATCAGATACAAGTGTGATCCTTCCCCGGTCGAGCCAATCAATTTGTGCTGCAGCTATAATATGCTGCATGGCATAGAGTGGGTCTACTACTTAAAAATAATATCGTGTCTGTTATATAATATTAAACCTATACACTCGTATATAAATCATACCTATATATAGAATCTACATACAGTTCATTATCGGATATTGAGCTCTCCCAGAGCAAGGAAGAAACACGCTCTCACAGAACACCAGCCTAAAACAGTAGCTCAATATTGGTGTGTTTCGTCTGTTGAGTGTAGAAAACCGAAGACCCTTCTTACTGAAACAAGGCTGTGGCGGCGCTGTCGTCGCGCCACAAGCGAAAATACATCGAAACCTAAATCTATAATATATTAAATTTCCGAAGTAAAACCAACTGCCTGGCGGGAGATCTCCCCTTTTCCTTCCACGGCCAAAACGCATTACATTACAACTTAGTCCTCAAGGGGTAGCAACGAATCTGCATTTTGAATCTTAATCGATAATCAGGTTGAATGTATGCTCGTTTGTCACCCTTATTCTATAAAAAAAATCTCTTTTTGTCTCGTATACCTCAAAACTTCAAAACGATACTAAACAGCCGGTGCGTATTGTCAGTGATAACATGACGTGGTTTTTTATTGCTGGCCGTATGAGGAAGCTCAAGGTCGCTCAACAAACTATGGAGAGGGCTATGCTCTGAATTTCTCTCAGAAGGTTCCCGAGTGGTAAGCGGAGTGCAGAGCGCCCTTCCCCCCCCCCCCCCTAGATGGAGTAACAGCCTGGCTCAAGTCCATACTTTTTGGAGTACCAGCAGTGGATTTGTATGAATTAGACTGTAATGATGACGATCATAAAGGTAATAACTAATATTTTATATTAAACACATATAGATTATAGATTCTAACAATTCAAATGTTTTTATCCTATTCTGCGTAAATATTTAATCCTTTGCGTAAAGTGGCCTCTGATTCCCAGGGCTCCTTTCCAGCTGTAGCCAATTTTGATGACAACATGTCAATATAATGGTGCTTTTCAGGCTAAATTAAACAGTACCTAAAATGTAAACAATAAAAAAGAACTTTTAAGTCCAAATAATTACCTGCGAAGTCTCCTCAGTTTTTAATAATTCGTCTTCTTCACTTTCTGGCTCTGGTGGTGGTGTTTGGCCTAGGGAATGTTTTAATGATTTTATTTCGTTTTGTTATATATAAACCATTAACATGTTGCCGGAGTTATCCATACAATTTGTCGTAGACCAAAAATAGTTGAAAATACTAATGGATAATTTAACACAAAGACGTGTAGCAAGTAGATAAACGAACTTAGGTCATTATAAATCTAAAGAACATAATTTAAGTTCGTATTGACTATTTATTCTGTGGTTTTGATTAGAACGGATCGTATCTCTAAACGGCACATTTCTTAAAAACATGAACGGATATTAGCCAGCAATGAAAAAACACTGTTAGAGAGATTGCCAGTCTACAAATTAGGTTAAAATATATTTGTGATTCACAGACATTCCTTGTTCCTTACGACATTATACTCGTATATCAACGGTTGCAATACACTTGCAAAACATTAGACAACTAGACCTATTCGTTGGGAGAAACTCCAGCGATTTGCCATAAGGACTATATCGTCGGCAAATCGAAGGTGAGTGATGTACTCGCCATTGATGTTAATACCATATCCTTTCCAGTCCAGTAGCTTGAAAACGTCTTCCAATGCAGCGGTGAAGAGTTTCGAGGATATAACGTCACCCTGTCTTACATCTCTCTGCAGTTGGATAGGTTTCGTACACTGATTCTGTACTGGGATAGTCATCGTAGCTCTACTGTACAAACACTTCAGCACTTCGATATACCGACAGTCAACTTGGCACCGCTAAAGGGACTGCAACACCGCCCAGGTTTCGACGGAATCAAAGGCTTTCTCAAAGTCCACATACGCAAGGCAAAGTGGCAGATTATACTCCTCTGTCTTCTATACAATCTACCGCAGGGTATGTATGTGGTCCATGGTACTAAAGCCTTTTCGGAAACCGGCTTGTTCGGGAGGGTAGAAGTCGTCAAGTCTGCGTGGGAGACGATTCATAATGATTCTCGAAAACAGCACAAAGACGCGGCTCGGAAGGGAAATCGGTCTGTAGTTCTTCAAGAGAGCGTTGTCACCTTTCTTGAAGAACAAGACCACCGCACTTCTGCTCCACGCCTCCGGAGTAGTGCCACCATGGAGGACGGAATTAAAGAGCTTCTGAAGGACATCAAGTACGTGTTTTCCACACACTTTCAAAAGCTCTGCTGTAATTCTATCCTCGCCCGGGGACTTGCCGTTTTTGAGGTGCTGGAGAGCCATTCTAATCTCGCTCAGACTGACGTCCGGGATATATTCGGAATAGTGTCGGATAAGACTCGCTCTTGGATCGTTACTCACACTTGCGTATGGCTCCAACGATGACGTGTACAGCTGCTCATAAAACCTCTCAATCTCACTCAAAATCTGAGGTGTCCCAGAAAAGATGCTGCCACACTCGGTCTTCAGCCTTGACAGTTGACTCTTTCTGGCAGACAGATATCTGGAAAAGACTTTGGAGCCTTGGTTCCGCTCGATTGCTTCTTCAATACAAGCTGTATTGATGTTGCGCAAGTCCCGCCGCATGCATTTGGAGATCTGTCTGTTCAGTTGCCTGTATGCTCTCAAATCTGTTGAAGAATGTAGCTTCATCTCCCGTCTAACAGCCATGAGATTAAGAGTGTGATCGGAGAGTTTTTGTGTTCTTCTGCGGCGGGTCTTGCAGAACTTAGCTCCGACCGCATGGACAGTTTCCACGAGCTTGCCATTCATATCGTCCACTTCATTGCAGTCTTCTAGGCACTGAAAACGGTTTTGTAACTCGAGCTGTAAGGTTTTGGGACTTTGGAACAGAGCACGAGGGGGACGGAGAGTTAACTTCATTAGACGAGACCTCTCCAACTTAATGTTTAGGTTCAGTGTGCCTCTAACCATTCGGTGATCGCTACCAGTTTTTACCCTCGCGATCACGGAGACATCACTGAACAGTTGTTGTCTGGTCGTCATAATGAAGTCAATCTCAATTTTTGCCGAACCATCGGGGTTCGACCAGGTCCACTTCCTGTGGGACCGCTTCGGGAAGGAAGAGGTCATCATAAAGAGTCCCTCTTTCTTCATGAAGTCGGCTAGCTGCTGGCCCCTTAGGTTCCTTCTAATCCGAATTTCCCTACTTTAGGCTCACCGTTCTCTTTTGTGCCTAGTTTTGTGTTGAAGTCTCCCATTAACACCGTATAGTGGGTTTTGGAGGAATGCATGGCTTTAGAGATATCCGTATACATTTCCTACACCTCTTCATCGGGATGTGCTGAGGTTGGTGCGTAAACCTGTACGAACTTCACCACACATAACCTACGTCGACACACTCCCAATCTTTATAACGTTGTTAATGAGAGACTTGTGGACGATAAATCCGACAACTCCTTGGGACAGATGGTCGCGCTCCCGGTGATAGAACAAGTTTCCGTATTCTAAGATTACCGTATCCTCCCCCTCTCTTCAGACCTCGGATAATCCTATAATATGCCAGCGTAACTTGTCTATCTCTTCTTTCAGCTCAACGATCTTCTCGTCAGTACTCAGGGTGCGTGCGTTGTATATTGCCAGGTCGAGTCGTCTTAAGTGGCAACCGAACCTCCACCGGAGATTCTTAGCACCTCCTAAACAAAACAAAACATTTAAAACTTGGTAATAGAGAGAGCCTGTACACTTTCCGGGACCTTGTTGTAATAGCGTATACATTGCCCCAAGAATCAATTACTGACTCTGAAGAAACTGGTATCACTAGCTTGTGTTTGTTCCTAGTGTTTACAGAATGTATATCACTTTTTTTTTACTAAAACTACCTTTGTTTTAGTGAACATACATTATATTTTCGTAAATATACTCTGAGAGGCCAAAGTTAATATATAATTTATTTCTTTAAATTTATCTCTAAGATACTCTCTCGGTTGTAGGTTGTAAATAGCTCTAATGGCCCTCTTTGTAAAACAAAAATAGTTTGTGAATCAGCCGCATTTCCCCATAACAAAATTCCATAAGACATTATGCTATGTAAATAACTGAAATAATCTAATCTAGCTGTCTCGACACTAGTGAGACCTCTCATCTTTTTTACAGCAGAGGCTGCAGAACTTAGTCTGCTTGCTAGTTTGGACATATGGGGCGCCTCACTGAAGCTTTGCATCGAGAGTGATGCAAAGAAAAACAGTGGATTTAACAGGGCTCAGTCCTTTTCCATTTAAAAACACATTGGTACTCAGATTTTTAACATTCGTTGTTGTAAATTTAATACATTTAGTTTTATTGTCGTTTAAATGTAGATTATTAACGTTAAACCAATGCACTAATTTTGATATAGCATTATTCACTTCGTCACAGTTAAATGATTGACGTTTAAGTTTAAAAATCAAGGAAGTATAATCAGCAAATATTACTATATCATGATTATCCCCTACAAGAGAAGGTAAGTGATTAATATACACTAGAAATAGGAATGGGCCGAGAATGGAGCCCTGAGGGACACCCATTAGTATAGGTGACCCGGAATAACTTTTACCATTGATAATAACTTTCTACATTCTATTACTTAAATATGAAATAATAAGTTTAAGCGCTGTGTTCTTGACACGATAGTACTATAGCTTCCTGATTAATGTCTCATGATGAACGCAGTCGAAGGCCTTGGAAAGGTCTTCATCGTTAAAAATTTATGTTTATTTTAGCGGGTAGGTAACCGGGTAGTGGCAGTGTAAGTATATCCAATACTCCCTATACCCATCGTCCCGTGGGTAACGGGTGACAGAGGGTAACAATCCAGGAGGTGGTCAGCAGAGTTTACTTATTAAAAAGTAGAAAATAAAAACTGTCAATGCGGCTGTCAACCCGGCAACCATGGCAAACTATGAGGAGACCAACGCTCAGCAGTAAGTATACTTTAAAGTGCTGTTAATGATTGAATGTTTAATTTGGGCTGTGTGGTGAGGAGAGACACTATCACCCCATATCGTCACATGAGTGTCGTAAGAGAAAACGCGAGGGCAAAGTGCAAGACCTCAGGTACTGCTTTTGTTAATCCGCTAGCCAGACGTGACGGTTACAGCAAAGCCTCCCTATAACGGTATAGGTCTTTGTCTCTAACTGACTTATGAAGAAGACCAATGAGGATACTAATATCGGTTTTATTTTTTTAGGCTTTTTCTTTGCAAGTAAACTTTTCTTTGCTTTCAAACTAAATCAGCGTCACTTTTTTATATAAAATAAGGGTGACAAATGATCACCTCACAGTCCACCTGATGGTGAGTGGATGCTGTGGTCCACAGACATCTACATTTATTCTCAATTAAGAATCAAAATGCAAATGCGTTGTCACCCCTGAGGACTGAGATTGAATGTCTTGTTTCCCGTAAAAAGGGTCTTCGGTTCTCTACACTCACCCCATGAAACACAGCAGCATCAAGCTGTTATTTTACGCTGGTATTATGTGAAAGCGTGGTCCTTCTCCGGTCGAGCCAACCCATTCGTGATACAACAATAATGCAGCTGCAACATGGCTCTACCGTGAGAAAAAATGTGTCGTAATCTCCCAAACGCTGCCCAGTCGAGCTTAATACATCGATTGACCTCTCGTTCGAAGTTATTATCTTATTTGAAACGTCTGAAATGAATCTATTATACCCTTTGAAGTGCGGCAAAGAAAACTTTAGATATCGAAATACCCATCCTAAAAAACGTACTTGTCAACATAAATCAATCACATCTTAAAATATAAATTAGATTAGGAAAAAAGATACTTGAATTATGTACGTGTTTTTATAAATAAAGGGCGTCTTTCATAGTAGAAGAAAATTAATAGATTATATTTTAAAGATAGTTCAATTCTTAATACAAATAAAACACAATATTACCTTCTCTATATCCGTTAAAGTACTTGATATCTTTGGAGGCGTCCATGCGCGCCAGAAATTTGTACATTGTAAGAAAGTGTTCCACTGGAATCGCTGCTGATCCACCGTCAGGCTCTTTGGTGAGCGTTTCACAAAGAAGAATAATCGTATGAGTTAGAGTCTGCAAAACGGATTTATAGTAAATTCAAATTAATAATAAATTTCTTCCGCGTTTGATCTAAGAACCCTATGTCTTGCATCTCATAAATCGTTGATTACGTGACGATCAATGACTAATCCACTTTCTTATCTTCTGTAATAAATTTTAGAATACCATTCATTCGTTCCAAATTCATCCACTAAATCAGGCAATACATGTTTCATATTCTTTACCGTCCAGCCACGGCTACTTTATCAATGTATCTATCAAAAATATTTCTTGGTTTGGTTAGAAAAAAAATATCTTGACTTGCGAGAAAACAGCCTTTAAATATAAATATTCATATTTTTAGAACAATATATTCTATAATTGTTTTCGTGTAATATAACTTCTTGCAACATCAAGTGTCGAATTATTTTAAAAGGACAAGGTATTTATTTAATTTTTGTACTAAGCGGCTGTCTAAATTTAAAAAACAATAAAAAAATCTTTTCAGCTTTCGTAATGATGAAATAGGGTTATAATTTATGAAGCAGCGTTTGAGATTATTTTGTCAGCAACAATAGTCGTGTCGGAAATGAAGCTGCAGTCTTTAGCAGATTTGAGAACATACAGACAACTGAACAGACAGATCTTCAAGTGCATGCGGCGGGACTTATACAGCTCGTATTGAGCGATCGAGCGGAACCTTGGCTCCAAAGTCTTTGCCAGAGATCTGTCTGCCAAAAAGAGCCAACTGTCGAAGCTGAAGACCGAATGTGGCGGCATCGTGTCCGGGACACCTGAAACGATGCTGCCACACGCAAGTGTGAGTAATGATCCAAGAGCAAGTCTTATCCGACACTATTCCGATGATATTCCGGACGTCAGTCTGAGTGAAATTAAAATGGCTCTCCAGCACTTTAAAAACGGCAAGTGTCCGGGCGAGGATGGAATTACAACGGAATTTCTGAAAGCGGATGGAAAACCAGTACTTGAAGCCCTTCAGAAGCGCTTTAATTCGAGCGTAGAGCAGAAGTGCGGTGGTCTTGTTCCTCGAGAAAGGCGACAATGCTTTCTTGAAGAATTACAGACCGATTTGCCTTCTGAGCCACGTCTACGTGCTGTTTTCGAGAGTCATTACGAATGGTCTCGCACGGAGACTCGACGACTTCCAGCCTCCGATCAAGCCGGTTTCCGAAAAGGCTTTAGCACCATAGACTACATACATACCCTTTGGCAAATTATACAGAAGACCGAAGAGTACAATCTGCTAGTTTACCTTGCGTATGTGGACTATGAGAAAACGTTTGATTCCGTCGAAAAACGGGCGGTGCTGCAGTGCCTACAGCGGTGCCAAGTATGTCGGTATATCGAAGTGCTAAAGTGTTTGTATAGTAAGGCTACGATGGGTATCCGAGTATAGAACCAGAGTGCAAAACCTATCTAACTGCAGGGAGGTGTAAAACAGGGTGACATAATATCCCCGAAACTCTTCACCGCTGCATTGGAAGACGTTTTCAAGCTTCTGGACTGGAAATAATACGGTATTAACGTCAATGGCGAGTACATCACTTACCTTCGATTCGCCGACGATATAGTCCTTATGGCAGAATCGCTGGAGGACCTAAGCACTATGCTCAATGCCCTCAATACTGTCTCCCAACGGATAGGTCTTAAGATGAACATGGACAATACAAAAGTTATGAGTAACGTCTATGTCACACCTATGCCAGTAGTTGCTGGGAGCACTAAGCTCGAAGTTGTTGATGAGTATATTTTTACCTGGGACAAATAGTCCGACTAGGTAAGTCTAACTTCAACCGAGAGGTCAATCGACGGATTCAACTCGGCTGGGCAGCATTCGGGAGAGTACGACACATCCTCTTGTCAGGCATACCTCAAAACCTCAAAACAAGTTTATTCAAACAATGCTTATTGCCAGTGATGACCTATGGATCTGAGTCGTGGTCCTTCACTGCTGGCCGTATAAGGAAGCTCAAGTTCGCTAAGCGAGCTATGGAGAGGGCTATGCTCGGCGTTTCTCTGCGTGATAGACTTAAAAACGAGGATAAACACAGTAGAACCAAAATAACCGACATAGCGCAACGGATTAGTAAGCAGAAGTGGTAATGGGCTGGCCATACAGCTCGAAGAACCGACAACCGATGGGGAAGAAATGTTCTCGAGTGACGGTCTCGTACCGGTGCACGAAGTGTAGGGCATCTCTCAGTAGATGGAGTGACGACCTGGTAAGACATGCAGGTGGCTTGGGACCATGCTTTGTGGCATTCCTTGGGGGCCTACGTTCAGCAGTGGACTTGTGAAGGGCCGTAATGATGATAACTAGACGTGTCATATGTCAGCAAAACTATAATTGTATTTTTATATATATTGTGTGTCCATATTGGGCACGTATGTTGTGCCATGTTTATGTGTGACTTATAAAAAACAGAATGTGCCAACTCTGTAACTTGGCAATCATGTCGTGAAAAGCGACTAATGAGATATTGGGTTCATGATTCTGTAGACTATGGCCTAGCCACATATGATTTCTTTCACAATTTTCCATTTAAACCCATATTGTCCAAGTAGCTTGCTGCTCTTTGGACTGTCTCTCTCTCTCTCTCTCTCTCTCTCCCTCTCTCTACTTATGAGGATTACAGACGTGACGCTTAGTATGTATGTGTGTTTTTAAACTCCTATAGCTTATATGTGACTTATTCTTGTATATGATTACCATTAACATATCAGACTATCAAAAGTGGACCTGCTGAACTTTTAATAGGCTGTTATAAGCCTCCCCTATAGACTGCCTTACAGGGTGGATGTTTGTTATAATTGCCACACTTAGCTGGCGAGTGTTCCAAATGTGTTATATTGTGATCTCAAATGTAAATTGAAATTTTAACTCTTAACGTTCTTAAATTTCATTGCGATTATTTTCAAGCGGGATTGTGATTACTCCAATTCCGAATTCCCAATTAATGTAAAAAGACAGTAAAGTACTGCCATTTAAAATTTTATTGGTGTAGAAAAATGAAAATAAATGTGGAGGTATTAAACCTAAACAGGTATTATTTGAAAAATTTGTAAGTGTTATAAATTTTATGGGACAAAGCTAAACAGCATAAAATAGTAATGTATTAATTTTCTTACTGTTTATAAAAAGAAAAACTAAATCAATATCAATTAAAAATCATGTCAATATTAAAATAGAACTTGTCCCGTCTTATTCAAAAGGTAGTTTATATTATTTTACGGTTTAAATTGGCCTGTTTGAATTAAGAAAGCCTGTGGATTAGCCTTTTATAAAATATGGAATTTAGCAAAAAATTATAAGACTGATCAAGAGACTCAAAACGCCAACCTTTGTTAACATTCCTCCAGCAACTGCTATAAAATGTAGAAGTGGTACACTGTTCTCCCGCAAGTAAACTTCACAGAGACACATGATCCTCTTCAACTCCTCATAGTCGAGACAGAAACCCCGCCAAGCTTCTTTAAGTACCGGCAGTGGCACGTCTTCCATGCTAGATAACTATCACAAAATGTATTTTTAAAACACAATGTACAAAGTGCTTAAAATAAATAGAAGCTTAAATCAGACATGTTTGTTCAGGTGAAAACTCCGTTTACTGATTATCATTTTACTTTTTTTTTCCTGTTTAGAAAAGACATTACCTCCACATTAGGATTTTCTGTGTGGAGGCAGATTACATACATACATGCATTTTGTAATGATAAACATCCATACACGAAACAGTAGGCCATACAAATACTTGTTCCGAGCGAGATTCGAACCCGCCGCCACGTTACATAATATCAAATATTAAAATATATTTTTATAAGGAAATATATTTCGAAAATATTCAGAATGGATATGAAATGTAATTGCAAGGAACAACAGTAGCCTTATCGTTTATTTTTTAATGGAAACAATAAAAATAAATAATGGAATAAGTGGAACCTTTGTACGATATTACTATAAGACTGTTTCTATAGCTTGTTGTTTGTACATAAATAAATTAAAAAAAAATAATATTGATTGATCAGAGCATGTGATCATGTGGTGAATAAATAAACAAGTGGTAAAATTAAAAATTTTGTACCACCCACTTCAATATAAATAAAATGAGAACGTCATCTACGTAGTAGATGGTGGCGATCAAATTTATATGGGAGCATGAGAAGCACCAACTTTTAAAAATCGGTTCATCTAGAAAAAAGTTCTGAGGTAACACCCCATAAAAAATACAGTCGAATTGAGTACCTCCTCCTTTTTTTGAATTTGGTTAAAAATATCAATGTCATAATGTTGCTGAGGTTGATAATATTCTCCGCATATTTTCTTTTAGCATATAAAATTGATTCGGTGTGTGTTAATCTATTTAACATAATATACAGTTAATAAAAGCGTAAAATATTGGCTTTTTAATTTTTTTATAATGTTATCAAGGAATCCTTATTCAGTAAATATTTATTAATATTATACAATTACTATAGAAATGATCCTATGAAGTAAGAAAGAGCCGTGGTAGCTCAGATGGTTAGCGCTCGCTGTAAGCTTCCCAGTGCGCTAGCAATCCGGGTTCGATCTCCGCAGGCACCAATGAAATTGTTAATTGCAATTTGAAGTGCTGATTTACCACGTGCTCGGCGGTGAAGCAAAACATCGTGAGGAAACCTGCATGTCTGAGAAATAGGAAAAAATATTTCAAAGACATGTGAAGTTCGCCAACACGCATTTGGACAGCGCGGCGGACATTTCTTTGCCTTGAAACCCTCTCAGAAATAAGAGAAGGCCTGTGCCCAGCAGTGGGACGTAAATAGGCTGCAACTTTACTTTACTTTTTATATAACTGACTTTTATTTCGTAAAACTTTACCATCAACTCCTGGACTATACTTCTTGTACGTGGTAGAGCCATGCTGCAGCTATATTAGTAGTATAGTTGTAGCACGAATGGGTCGGCTCGACCGGGGAAGGACCACGCTCTCACAGAATACCAGCGTAAAATAGCAGCTTAACACTGCTGTGTTTCGTATGGTGAGTGTAGAGAACCGAAGACCCTTTTTACTGGAAATGAGGCATTCCATCTTAGTCCTCACGGGTGACAACGCATCTGCATTTTGATTCTTTATTGAGGATAAATGTAGATGTCTATGGACCACAGCAACCACTTACCATCAGGTGGACTGTGTGCTCGTTTGTCACCCTATCCTATAAAAAAAAACTATGATGACCGGCAATTCGTTTATCTTTAAAAGGCTTTATGTCGCTTTAAGTAATATTAAATATCAACACCAATTACTTTGAACGAGATCTATTGTGTGTAATGTGTCTTTTTTATCGCTTTAGCTATGTAATTTATTTGTCAACATGAATACAAAAACAATACATTTGAGAGACAGAATACAAAGGACTGAAACACCGTACGAAAATAGGAAGATTAAAAAAAAGACAAATTAAGTAGAAGAAAAAATAATTAAAATACTTATATCAACTATAGTACGTGAGGGTAATATGGTCATCATAAAACCGAGACCAGGACGAAGGCAGAGACAAACACACAAAGTTGTATACTGTAACTAATATATTAAGAAAAAAATAGCAGACAAGCTTTAGCAATAATTAAGAACACTTCGAAAAATCAACTTAAAAACACGAACCATACTACACAATACTAAGATCGACTAAAACATTTACTAGAAAGTCAACTGTCAAAGTGAATTCGATAAAGAGAGGCGCTGCTTTATCGAATTCACTTTGACAGTTGACTTTCTAGTAAATGTTTTAGTCGATCCCTTTGACCCTTTATAATTTGATTAACTGATGAAGAGCTATCGTATTACAGAGCCATCCATACAAACAAGGCTGTAGTTTTTGAGCATATTAACCGAATGACCATATTACGCTCACGTACTATATGTACAAACCTGTTGAGCCAATACTTTCAGGCATCCTCTAGTGAGACCGCCCTCAGTATGATACACGGGGTACTCTAGACGTAGCTTGACCGGAGGAGGGCGATGCTCAGCCAGTGCCTTGAAATATTCGTATGACCAGCGCAGTAAATCGTACGGCTGCGTCTTAATTGCCGCTGCAATGTTCACAAATGCTGAGCATTCTTAAACAGAACACCTAGTTCCGTCTTTACCCTTGAGGGTGCATGGGGCACTAGTTTTCAAATGAAGCTGTAAGAGGCGTATAGGCTAACAGCACAAACATCACAGAAAATAGATGAGGCACGAGTCCGGGCCGGACTGACAGGGCCGAGAAAGTCCAAAAGGTTGACGCCATGTTTCTATCATATTTCAATTTAATACAATTTAAACACATTAATTAGTTTCTTGCATATTGTGTGAAAACTTACTATAAATTTATCATCAAATAAAAATAAGTTATAATGTTTTTCTACTCTCTATAGACTCTTAGACTGGGTGCTTTAAGGCCCCTGCATGGCCTTAAGGCGGCCCTTCACGTTGGCCAACATAGAAAGCGAATGTGTAGGCAATGATTTTAGCTAAGAGTTTGTGATGGCGTCCACACGTTGGAAGGTTGTTCAATTTGCTTCGATTCAGGCCAATGTGCGGACGAATCTATTAAAATGGATATTGAGGCGCTAACGGCTGCTGTGGTTTATTTATTCACAAGTTCACAACATACCGCTACTACGTGAATGTATATAAGAAAAGAGTGATCAAAAAGAAATGGCAAAAAAGAAATTTTATTTCTTCTGTTCCACAACCAATTTTTTGTTTGGAAAAGCTCTATAAAGCGAAAAGTTTCTTCATTGGTAATTGTTACTGCCATTTTGTAAACACTAGTTACGATGCGTAAATACAAAATTTAAATCAGGCGCTTGCGATCTCTCTGGAAGCTCATAAATAACTAAACGTGCGTCCAACGTGTGGACGCGGCGGTCAATACTTTACCACAACCCTTTGATCTTTTGTAAAAAAGCGACACCACACGGATCTCGCTCGCGCCAACTTGTGGGCCATCATTCACCATTATGTTGGCCAACGTGAAGAGCCGCCATTAGACAGCCCTCAAAATAGCGACCGAACAACGAGTTGCTACACTCGCTGTATTCTGTGAAAGCACGTATCATGGTTTAACCCACCCATCCATGCTGCAGCTATAATACAACTGCATCGTGACTGTACCTCGTAAATAATATTAATATAGATGGAGTGACGACCCGCACTAAATGGAGTGACGACCTGGTAAGACCAGTAAGACATGCAATATGTCGATGGATGCAGGTGGCTTAGGACCGTGATTGTGATATTATTTGAGGAGATCTATGTCCAGTAGTGAACTTGTGAAGGACTGTAGAATATCCCCATATTTCTGCCCAACCTAGCCTTTCAAATTATATCATTACTGAAGGCTTACAGAGTGCCTTTGTGTTCGCTCGTACACTTGGGCCGTTATAATAACTCCACTGCAGAAAATTTTAGGGTTATCTTCAAAGTCGGGATAAGCCAGGAGTGCGATTATGTAACTCTAGTGGTAAAGATGAGCTTCGTTTTGGCGTTTGATGTTTGGTTTCACTGAAATGTGTGAAGTATCAGTATAGATTATAAGCCGAAGTCTCTATCTCTGAGAAAAAATATTTTCGTTTCAATTCAATAAATTCACAACGCGATATGCATAACTAACCTTTGCAGTAGCGCTTCAGAATGTACGGAAATTTAGGCGGAATGACGATCTGCTGAGAGCAGTACATTTGTTCGATTAATTCTGGCATCTTGCAGATTCTTCTAGTTTCTGGAACAACGTAATCGTTCACTCCTTAGATTTACGCTAAAACGTTGTATAAAACTAACTTTTCAGATTTTACCGCGCTTAATTTTAACTTATTGTTAACGTTGCGATTGACTTGCAGCACATGCAATTGTCATGGAGGGACCTCCAGCTTTTAATTTTTAATTTTGGCTTGATCTGCACAGAATGACAGAATGAGTTTATTGTAACTGGAAGTATTACAGTGGCACTCTCGGTTTTGGATTCAATTTTATTAACAACTGATTCTTTGTTTGAAGTACAGGTGTCTATGGGCTGCTGTAGCCACTTACCATCAAGTGCACTGTATGATCATTTGTTACTTCGGTTTCATGAAGAAAAAATCAGCGCACAAAGGCGCGGTCTCTAGCTTTAAATAAAAACCCTCCACCTAACGCGTCAGCTTAAACATTTTTCAAACAACCTATACCTATAGTGACAAGGCATCTGCATTAAGATTTGTAATCGAAGATGAATGTTATATTTAGATGAACCGGACAGCATTCAATGAAGACATCCACGACTTTTTAGGCTAACAGAGCGGCGCCACTCAAGAATGATGAAATATTTGACAGATTCTATAGCGGGGGAAGTTAATTTGTTAGAATAGTGTAGAATAAAGTATCTGTCTAATTTTTTATAGGATAGAGTGACAAACGAGCACTCAGTCTACCTGATGGTAGGTGGTTGCTGTGACCCATAGATATCTACATCTATCCTTAGTAAAGAATCAAAATCCAGATGCGTTGTCACCCGCGAGGACTAAGATGGAATGCCTCTTTACCAGTAAAAAGGGTCTCCGGTTCTCTACACTCACCATACGAAATACAGCAGCGTTAAGCTGCTATTTTACGCTGGTATTCTGTGAGAGCGTGGTCCTTCCCCGGTCGAGCCGACCCATTCGTGCTATAACTATACTACTAATACAGCTGCAACATGGCTCTACCTCGTATAAAAAAAAATTGAAGATATTAAAAATGAATAAACCAAACTACGGATATTCCTAAAAGTAAAAGAATTAAAAAAAGATTAAAAATGAGTACAAAATTACAGAACACATCACTGATACATTGTTTAGTGTATATACATACACTATAAACCTAATTTTTTTTTAATTTAAAACGCAACGTTTCAATAAAAATGACACTATATGACCACCTGCGAAATAAATAAGTTCACCTTAGTCGCATCTAGCGACATCTGGTGAGTGTAAGATTATTATTAGCCATCATTGGTACCATCCCCCTCCCCCCACTAAATGAAATGACGACCTGGTAAAATGTCGATACAGGTGACTCAGGACAATGTTCTGTGGAATCGCTTGGGGCGGCTGATATTCAACAGAAGACTTGCGAAAGGATGTTCACGCTAGTAGAGCGTTTTAATACTTTCACTTGTGGCGGTATAACAGCGCAAGTGCAGAAAATTTGCACGTTATCTCAATATTTGCCTCTCACGACAACTACGGGACGAATTGGAGTGATAGATTCACTTGCTCCGCCACCACGCGGCATCTTATTACTTTAATTCATATAATATCAAAAAGGAAAATCCGACATCTTTTATCTCTAAATGTCAACATGCAGACGGCGTGTTCTGGCTACAAACTAACGTTGAAAAATCCATCTAAAATACTGAAAAATGACTTTACCTCCGTTGGGATCGGTATACTTTACCAATGCTACAACAGTGACTCTCCGTTCATGATCATGACCCCACCCAAAAAGTATATAATCACTACGTTTTAACTCTGCCTACAGGCTATGGGGAAAAAACAATGAGGAAAAGCAAAATACAGGGAGAGAAAAAAAACTAATTTTAAAAAATGTTGAAGATTCGTTAATGGAAAATAATGAGAATGACGATGATGATTAAATATTATAAAGATACTTATGTTAAAAAAAACTACTTACCTACAGTATCCCTCTTTATTTCAGCTGTTTGTCAAGGAGTTGCTATGGGAACGTTTACTCGTCTACCATAGATTACTATAAACGTAATAGTTGTTATAATACTCTTTGGATTACTAATACATAGGCTGCACTAAAAGTATCGGGAATGGAATATTTCCACTGTTCCTATCTTATTAAAATCTTTTTAATTGCAAACTCCTTGGTTTTAAAAATCGATTACCATTTATTTATTTAAAAAAAGATTCTCGGTCTTGTCACAAGGTTTTGTCAAACTTGTTTAGTCGTTGAGAAAATGGAATTGACTCGAGAAAATTCAAGAGCGATGATTTATTATGACTTTCGAAGTGGTTTAACACAAAAACAGTGTGTTGACCGGATGATTTCTGCATTTGGTGATGAAGCCCCATCCAAAACCAGTCACCCAAGAAAACGTTGATGCTGTGCGTAAGCTGATTGAGGAAGATCGACATGTGACATGCCGCGAAATTCAGGCAACTTTAGACATTGGCATGAGTCAAATACAAATAATCTAGCATGAACAATTAGGCAATTAGGTGTAAAAAAATTGTTTTCCCGATGGATACCGCATTCGTTCTGTGAAGAGCAAAAAGCGGCTCGCGTTACTTGGTGCGTCAGAACTCTCGAAAGATTCCACACAGGATCCTCAAATGCTGTATACAACATCGTATCAGGGGACGAATCCTGGATATACGCGTACGAACCCGAAATAAAAAACCAGTCACGAGTTTGGGTGTTCGAAAATGAGTTAAAGCCAACAAAAATTGTTCGTTCACGGAGTGTTGCAAAAAAATATGGTGGCCACATTTGTCTCCAAAACCGGCCATGTTACGACTATTCCTCTTGAGGGACAAAGAACGGTTAATGCAGAATGGTATGCTAGCATTTGTTTGCCACAGGTCGTTTCTGAACTCCGTAAAGAGAACTGCAATCGCCGCATCATCCTCCATCACGACAATGCGAGTGTGCGAACACCGCACACAGAACAAAAGAGTTTTTAGAGCAAGAAAACATAGAATTATTAAACCGTACGGCGTACGGCGGATGTACAGCCCCGACCTAAGCCCTAATGATTTCTATACTTTCCCTAAAATAAAGAATAAATTGCGTGGACAGAGATTTTCATTACCTGAAGAAGCTGTGGACGCCTACAAAACGGCCATTTTGGAGACCCCAACTTCCGAATGGAATGGTTGCTTCAATGATTGGTTCCATCGTATGGAAAAATGTGTCAAATTTCGCGGAGAATACTTCGAAAAGCAATAAATACATTTTTAAATAGTAATGTTGTGTCACTTCCTTGATTCCCGAAATTTTCAGTGCCGCCCTCGTAAGGCTCAAGAATAAGGCTTTGAGGATTCTAGATCATAATATTTATCAATACGTACCATATGCTTAGGCTCAGCCTCTCATAATGAAAGCGCCGATAACCCCATTATTAAGTTTATAAAATTTGATTATTTAGCGTGTTTGTATTTTTGGTGTTATTCAGTGGATGGTCATAAGCATATAGGCTTTGGAAACTCCACAGGAGAGGGTCCCCAAACAACCTAGTAAAACTAACCGATGAACAGTATAACAATGAAAAATAAATAATTATCTCAAATTTTAATGGAAAGGTTTAATTTTTCACAATGAAAATGACACTGTGATGAACAACGAACAGTTTGAAAACGGTACAATACAAAAGAAATTCCTAATGTATTTTTCTTTTTGAACATGTATAAATATTCTGGCCTTAATAGGGGCTCGAATAATTTTTTCGAAGGGCTTCAACAGTTTTGAATAGGACCCTGCGCTTAGTACATTGTAACGTTTATAACTAAAGCCAAATTTATTAAAAAATCTCACACGAGGATGAGTGGCCCATATTTGTTTTTAAATCTGGATTTCACCTAATTCAGATGTCGTAAACATTTCCGCAATTGTCCTTATTTTATTTGGTACTTGCCACCCGACCAGGCTTCGCCTAGATAGGATCTATTAATGTGCCATTAATTCGATTTAAGATAATCAAAGAATTATATTCAAGTCTATGTCATTGTATATTTTATCAATGTTTTGTTTTTTTAATCTCTAAGATTATTTAATCTTTATGATTTTTAGATAAAAGGTCTCTCCTGGTATTGCTCTCCATCTGTTCGTAAAGTTCCATCACAATCGGCTTAGCCATTCCAAAGATTAGCCCGTACAGACAGACAAAAATTTTAAAAATGGTTAGTAGCTCACGAGTATAATGTGAGCCAGTTATTTGAATATTACAGACAGACGTTTCAATTTTACTTATATATATAATATAGATTATGCAGTGCACATAGCGACAAATTTTCTTTTGGTTGCCACATGTCATGGAAACGGAGCGAAAAGATTTTGTTAATCCGTAATATACATAGTCTCCGTGAACTATATGACTTTCCATCTACAATACTTTTTGCTGAACTGCTAGTATATTTTCATATATATAATTTATAATGTGTGTGTGTGTGTGTGTGTGTGTGTGTGTGTGTGTGTGTGTGTGTTATAATCACTATTACAGTACTGTTAAAACTATTGTACTGAAATCGGAACGGTAGACGACTTTACTCAATACTTCCAATACTCAAAACTTTTATAAAATAATGCTAATTAAAATAGAATATCAGAATATAATATAGAAATAAAATAGCAATAAATGTACTTTATCCGTTTTGATAAAGACTGTGTAACACTTGTATAAACAGTGTTAGTCATTAAATACCTTAAAATAGATTTGATTTGCAAGTGGTTGCTAGTAACATTTACTAGCAACCAAAGCTGGTATTTCTGGCGGTATGCATGATGAGGTTTAAAGAAAAAAGGCAGACTTTAGACGTCTAAATAAGGGAATAAAACGACGGCTCCGTGGCGCAGTGGCTTAGCAATCAGTTGTTGCGTTGGGGGCCGCAGGTTCGAATCCCGCACGGAACAAGTATTTGTATGGCCTACAAATAATGGTTCCGGGTCTGGATGTTTGTCCTTGTGCAATTTATATTTGTTAACTACCTCCACGACACAA